TCTGAATCCCTCTCACCAGAGCTCCTCCATGTTTATCAAATGTATACAAAGTCGTTGCTTGTTAGATCAGAAGTGACTGGCTAGTGTGTTGGCGTCCGCATGCTGCGTTCAATGGTATCACGTAAATTAGCGGGTCCACCCGGCTCTGGTGTTTCCACAGCATGATATTTTAACATGGGATGCTTGTTTGACACGCATCAGCGAGCTGTTCCCACTGTCACTTTAAACTGCCAATACTGAATCCACCAACTCTGATCTATTTCTCTTTCCGTCAAACACAGCTGACTGCAACGCTGGGGTTTGGGACGAACAAAGTGAAGGCATGGATTTTAATGATGATTTATTCGTCTATCGCTAACGATGCATTTCTATATGAGGGTTTTCTTCAAACTGCTCGTTATCTAACCTTCAGCTTTTTAGTTCTCCATCTGGTGCAGATATATTTCCATAAACCACCAAGCAAAGGTGAGGCGATCCTATTCATGGAGACACTTCATAAAATAATAACAAACACCACCGATGAATAAACAAACATTGAATAGCACATTTTCCTTTTATTGACCTTTCACTAAAGTTCTAGAAACACGTGAATGAAGTAGCACTGACCTATGATTGCTGAGGTAATACTGAACAGAAATGAGCCATAAACATTATTGGCTTTATACTTTAAAGGGTTTGCATCTTTTCACACAATCATTAACACCAGCACTGCTTTTTTTTAAAAAGCACAAATGTTTTTCTCACCTCGGTTGTACTTCTCCAGGAGCCTCTTCTGTTGCAGAAACTCAGCAGTTAAAATCGTGTTGCTGTGTTTCACTTTCATCAGCTGCAACAGTTAGAAAGGACTTTTAAACTGTTATAGAAGATAAAATAAAAAGTCTCCACTGTAAAGTTATCACTCATGTTCATTCTAGTCCTAATACAGTAAATGCAAATAACATTAAAAGTCACACATTCAGCTTTTGGAGTGAAACTAAATATGATTTCTAATCTACTGTGAAGGCAAACATCAAAAGGAGCACTAATGCAAGGTCCATGTTATACAACACACATTAAAAAGAAAAAGGCTATTCTGCATCCTGAACCTCAAGCATTCGCAGGAATGCAAAGATAAATATTTACTGGCAAAAATTAAAGTTGTTTTTATGTTATAATATTTACAGAGAATCAAAAACAAACAGAAATAATAGAAAGAGGGCTAAAGAGGCTTAGAGAGGTATACCATGGCAAATTACCCATAATAAAATAAAATAAAAACACCTCTTTATGCGAAGTGTTACTTTTCCCAGTTATTAAGGCATTCAGATGTTTCCATGTTGACTATTTCAAAGTAATAGTTCATGTTGAGTTGATGCCCTGTTTTATGACATCATCATTGCAAAGTCTGTGGTTGAAGTACTCAGCAGTAGTACTTGACTAAAACTATTTGTACTCGTAGTCAAATCTTACTCAATTAAAAGTAAAAGTTACTCGGTCAAACATCTACTCTAGTTAAATGATTAAATAACTCACTTTTGAAAACTAATTCGGTATTCAGAAGTATGTGTATAAAAAAGTACTTAACTATTTAAAGTATTCTCTGCAAAAGTACTAATTAAATGTCCTAATATCAGCACATATCGGTCCAATTTTCAGAGTAATTTTAAAAAACCTGTGACTTTCAGAAACCAGCTGATATATCGCTGCTAGAATCACAAATAAGGACGGATTTTTAGATTATTATTTCTTATTTAAAAACAAACCACACCATTTATTGAACATCTGAACACTTTAAAGAGACAAAAGTGGCTGTCTCTCTGCACAACCCCTCTTCTTAGTGTCTGGAAGAATTAGTTGGCTGGGAGATCGTGCTATTACATCTTATTTACTAAAACTCTGGAGCAGGACATTTTTAACAATAGTGACCTTGCTAAAAAACTACAGAATCCAGTTATCTGTTTTTAAATATATAGTATTTGTAGGGGTGAAAACAAGTAGTATGGTATAATCTAGATCGTATGCAGGCTGCTGAATTGACATGCTAGTTTTTCCGTTTTCAGGAGACGCTTATAGGAGGTATTTTTTCTGTTTAATAATAATTATGAGAACTTCAGTCATGTAGTATGGTATAGTAAGCCAAATTATCCAATAGCAACAAAAAAGAGGCAAACTTTAACTTACTTCATCACAGTTATTCTTTAGTTGTTGTCTTGTTAAATTGAGATCAGAAATAAGTTGGTTTTTCTCCTTTAGAGTCACTTCCAACTTATCCTGTAGCCCTGAAACAATAGCAGAACAAACACAGTAATTCAAGCTTTAACTGTCTTTTTATGAGGTAAGATAACTTTTAATAAAAAGTATAAGTTAGGGAAAGTGAATCAATTTAATATCTTTATTTGTTCCTAGTTGTTAACTTATACAAACGTTTAACACCCAATGTTTCAGCTCTAACTATACCGGTTTAAAAGTTACAGCTTTGAAAAATTACAACTATAAATCAAGTTTCAAAGTATGAATCACAAAGTTACAAGCATAAAACTACGACCCCTGATGACGCTTTTCCACTCCTTACCCATTGGTGGCGGTGATGTACCAGAAGGCTGTTCATCAACCGACATTAATCAAGAAGAAGAAGACAGAAACAGAGCCATTTCGTCTTTTACATTTTTTTTCTGAAATGTTGGTTTTAAGACATGCACAGCAAATGTGATGGTGATATTTTTGTTTTTTTCTCATTTAACGCCAGTTAGTTATCAACCTTCAGATGCATTACTGCCACCATGTGGTAAGGGGAAAAACAGCTTCATCATGGGTCATAGATTTTGTTATTTGTACTAGTAGTTGATCAAAGTTGGAATGTTTTAACTTGTATTAATAACTTTCAAACTTGTATTCTCACAGATAAAACATCTGTTGTATTTAGGAGCTCACATGGAACAAATACAAATCTTAAATGTGTTGATGTGTATTGATTTAGATTTAGAAATTCAGACTCCCAAGCATATATAAGCCGTGTCTGAAGGCCCAGCCTAACCCCTAAACCCCTCCACAGACACAGAAGCCTTGAAGAACAGAACAGACAGGAGATCAGATCAGAGCAGATGACGGAAGGCAGGATAAGTCAGGACACAGATCCAGGTACAGGCCACAAACACAAGTCTGAAGATGGGTCAGGCAAACAGATCAGAACAGTGACAGGCAGGGTCAAAGGTCCAAAGACAGTTCAATCTGAAGAACCCACATGGAGAAAAAAAGACAATTAGAAGAATTTAATTAATGCAATTATTTTAAGCCTTTAGCCTTCAGAACTTGGCAGGAAACATTTGTGCTGAACTTTACTCTAATATGCATAAGCAGGTGTATGAGAGCAGTAATTTTTCCCACCCAGGCCTGAAACTGGTGGTGGAGTGGGGATAGATGAAGTTAGACTGCTGGTTGGCAAGACGATCTGCTTGAGCTGTGCTAGTGCGTCACTGGGGACCAGAAGGATAGATGTCCAGCTTGATTAAACACAGGTTTGCATAAATTATCTATGAGGAGCAAACATGAAGCTACAGTAGAGAGGAATAACTCCCCTTTGAGAAGAAACCTCTGGCAGAACCAGGCTCAACATCGCGATTTTCTGCCGGACCGATTGAAATGTGACGATGAATGCGGTAAGAGTCCCGGAGGAAGTTAGACTCTGATAGGGAGAAGGCTGAAGAAACACCATGGAAAAGCCAGATGGAGCACAAAAAGCAACTGTAAAAGGCGGCCTCGTCTCATCTGCTCCTAGTGTGCAGGTGGTGGTCGCGCTTTGTGACTTCATTCAGATGATCCCATTTCATCCACCTCCAGCCCCTCCTCCACCATCGTAGCTAAAACTTCATCAGAGTGTCATTCCTCCCGGACTCTTATTGCATTCCACGTCTCATTTCAACCGGTCCGGGAGAAGACCGCCATGTAAACCTGGTTCTGCCAGATCAACTGGTTTTCCTTAGATGGAAAACTTTAAATCAATCTGACTGGATGATCTGGTGAACTGGAAAGTGAGATGACATGTTGTGAATTGGAGCTATAGAAATAAACTGAATTGATTTGTTTTTCTGCCAGAGACTCACTTTACTTCAATGCTCCTTGTGTGAAATACAGATGCACTATTAAAGATGATAATATATAATTATATAATATATAATATTAGTATAAAGATGTCTCATTTCAAGCAGCTCCTTGTGATTATTTTGACACCAGAGCTGCATACATCACATTTGCAGTAATAAAATTTACCCATTATGAAATGTATTCCTCCACCACAGCTATGTAAAGTTATAAGGCAGGCAGTCTTTCTGTATAAATTACAGTATTTTCCTATTTTTTAAGAGTTTAGGAGTCACTGAATCTTGATTATGTAAAAACTGGTTAATCAGCAGCTTATTTTAATTTGATGGAATTAAGTGTATGAACAGGCATATTGTGAAAGGTAGTAATGCTTATTTTCTGGTATGAAGATATTAGCTTTTCTTTTAAAACATTCAACTTTAGTCGTACTCATGTTGGGTTTTTTTTTGTCTCTTATGAATTTTGTTTGCATGAATATGCAAGCTGGGGTGGTGGCCTAGTGGTTAGGGTATAGGGCTTTGAATCCTGAGATTGTGAGTTCAAACCCCGACTCCTTCAGACTGCCACTCTGGGTCC